AGAGCAGGCATGTGACAATGAAAGATTTCATTAGTTTAAGGACTGTGTTTCAAAACACCACATATCAATATGAGAGAAAAGAAAAACCTTTATTGGTACAATAGTTTTCCTTGAGTGGTGGAAATCCAACAATGATACACACCCAATCCACGTAGGAATAGGAATGTATTGTTCCGAAGTTACCACAAATGGATGTGTACTCGTTTGAATTGTGTTTGAAATGGTCATCAACTATCTCTTAATTATTTTTGCATTACATTTCAAGATTACTGAGAAGGCAATTCCATCAAATCAACTTTGAAACAACATTCATGTTTTACTGACAGTAAGGCTGAATCTCCAGCAAACAAGGCCCAGATTACTTTTAGAAACACCAGGAATCTCCTCCCAGCTGGTGATCAGCACTATTTGAGATTCAGCAGCACTATTGGGCGCTAAAACAAAGTCAGAGAATGCACTTTTAACTGACAATCAGAAGAATTATGGAAAATACATGAAATACTTTTCGGGACTCTGACAGTTCATTTAAATCAACATGGTCTCATTGAACATAGCACATGTTTGGTTTTAGCTATCCGTGAAAGAGCATTGTTAGCATTCAGCATTGAAACCGAGGACCATAAAAAGCCATAACTTAGCGTATAACTAGATGGACTTTTTCTTACAAAATCTAAAGTATTAAATCTTCAAAATAAATGTCCTTACTTGGACAGATTGTAGTTTATAAGTGTGGCCTTTGTACTCTGCTGTATTCTGAGCAACAGCTAACTTATTAGCTTTTTGCCAAACATGTCTATTGATTTCAGTCAGAAATGAAATGCTAACAAGCTGTTTTCTTATTGGCTAGCTTCATTATTTTCCCAACACAGAATCGCGACTTCCATCTGACAAATAAAAATAAAACAAAACTTGAAATGCTGATTTTTCCGCTCACAACAGTCAGTATAAAATGTATCAAATACCAACAATCATATTTTGATTCAACATAACAGACAAGATGTACAAAAAGAAGAAATATAATGGGCACTTGAGAATTTCAATGCACATGGTAGAACACAATCAGATGGAGAAAGAAAAAAAGAGAAAGATATAAATGGCAAAATATATGAATAAATAAATAGATTAATAAATATTATGAAGCAATAACTAACATAAAGTGTTCTATTCGATCACGCGTGTTAGCCAAACATGTTCTGTATATTACAGGTATAACTGAGTGCGCATGTGAATAACTTAAATGCTTTTGTTGCCTATTCAACAATCAATGTAAATGCTTTTTGAAATACTTCTATTGAATAGCACTTTACCAAAACTCTTTTTTAAATGCTTTTGCAACGTAACATTGGTCTTGCGTCCTTTGCTGTAAATGCAGGAGTTTATGAACAGTTTTTATGAAATTGGATCCTACAGTTTAAACCAGTAAGTTTGATGAAGACAATCACATAATACAGAGGCATGCTGATTGGACACTGAGCCATTGTTTTATGGAAGATGACAGAACGAAAGAATCATCTTGTTTTTGGCTATTGAAATGAGATCGTATGTGTTCCTTGTTTTTCAACATTTTACACGATATTATTTAAATGTGTTCTCACAAATATATAGGATAGATTTATAGACCTTCTTTTTACCTTTGCAACAGATTTCTCATGGAAAAAATATATTACCACTCAAACCAAGCACAGACAAGACCGTGGTGCCCGTCAAATCTATCGTGTCAATCAACCAATTGAATCAGTCATACAGACAATCAGCATCAGAGTCAAGCAATTCTTTATAACGATGAATCTATTGCCTAGGACTTGTAAAGATTACTAGCATATGACAAGAAACTCAATTTAAACATTCCATAATCAGACAATCCTAACGGCCCGTCCACACACAGGCATGAAAAAGATCTTGAAAAATCTTGATGCTGGGCGTGTCTTAAGCTTGGCGATTTTTTGCGAGCAACGCGACCAACAACCAATCACATGAATCTCCCGCCCCCGACATACAAAGCAATAGCAATGTTAAAACGAAGTAAACTGGATATAAACTCTCCAAACAGGCGAAAAACCTACCAGTTTCACCCACTGTCTCTGCCACCTCCCTCCATGCCTGGTTCCTCCGGTTTGTATCCCGGTAAATAGTTCTGGTCGTAAAGAACCGGGTGATTTGCTACCGTAATATCTCGTTTGGAATATGAGGAAATGAACTGCGGGCTGGCTCTCCCAGCTTGCACGCGGTTTGATTGGCTGCGCTTGCACTGGCGGGATTTGCATAAACGGGATTTGATTGGCTGATGACATTGTTCAACTTTTGATGCCGATAGATGCTCGTGATGCTTGCAAAGCCATGCCATGCTCCCCACAATGCAGTTCGGCGAAGATTAAAAATCTTCTACGTCACCCCATTCAAGTGGGGCCCATGGGCAAGGGAGGGTGCGCGCGCGGCGCGCGCCGGCGAGAGCGGTGAGGCCGCGCAGTCGATTGCCTGTAGTGTAGACGGGCCTGTAGGAGGGCTGACTTTCACTCTGGCTAAACTTGCCTGCAGTCTCGCGATTTCCTTGCTCTCGACGTGAGACTGGATTACTCCGATCCAACAAGTGCCACGGCCCAGGCAGCTCTCTGCCACAGGGCATGTTCCTTCTCCAATACAGCCCAGACCACCTGGCAGAGGAGGTGGAGCTGGTCTCCTGCTCTTCATCACCAAATTGAAGCTTTTCCCCTCCTTCAAGGCCTACGCTAGACTTCAGCTCCTTCCACCCTTTGAATTTGCATGCCGTCACAGTAACGCAATCCTATACAATGGTAACGCATTGTTGTTCTCTACTGTCCACCAAGGGCGCCTTGGGGGAGCTTGGCTTTGGAGGAATTAGGATAAATCTCCTCTCGACACTGCCGCTGGAAACCTGCCCTCCCCCCGCTGCTAGCTCTCGTCGGAGACTGCCGTCAACCTCGCAGACTGCACAGGAGTTAGGATCCCCTCGCGCGCACATTACCTGTTTCATTCCTTTGCTCCTTTCATTGCCGATAATGCGAGTAAATTCAAGTGTCTTTACGTCAGACAATCAGCTCAGATCCTGGGTTCTCCGGTTCTGGAGGCGGTCGAGTCTGGGATCCTGAAGCCTGAAGAGTAGACTCCCAAGCTCCGGGTTCTCCTGCTGGACTCTCCATGTTGACACCATTACTCCAGTAGACCATGGTGGGCTCTTGCGGCGTTGTTAACCAGCACCCCTGAATTTCCATTTTTCTCCGAATGATTCAGTTTAGCAGGGAACAGAATGGCGGGATTTTGAAAAATTTTGTTTTTCTTTCCTGGAGCTGGCTTCCTTACTGTGTCTTGTATGTGGTTGTCGCGGGTCCCCTTCGAACAGCTCTGGGCTGGTGAAGTCCTCCCGCTCAAAGAAAGAGCCTGCAATCTTGTCACCCTACAGTGGGCCTGTTCTGGTTGCCCAGGGCGCCTTGTAGCACCGCTTTGCCTCACGTTGTACGTTGCTTGGAAGCGGACTAGTTATTGATCGCGCGACGGTCGCTGTTGCCCCAGTGAGATGGCGCGCGTTGCCCGCCCCGGGTGGCGCTCTCTCGAATGGAATTTCGCCGGCTCAGCATCCAGTTTCTTCCACCGTATAAGTTTTCACAAAGTCCATCATGGCTAATGTCGCCCTCACATTTTCGGGCAGCTAGAATAAACTCCTGCAGGTCTTTACCGTCGTTCCCCTGAACCCCCTTACAAGTTCCTCCACATTTATTTTCCAGTTGCTTTTGCCTGGCGTAAACTGTTGAAGGAAGTACTTTTGTCCCATAGCCGATTTCACGTCTTCATTTTCTGGCGATTGCTTAATTCTGCTCGGCATCCGCTCTTACTTATTTTCAGCCCTCCGAAGCCTTTCTCTGCAGTCGTTTTTTCAATCCTTCATACGCTCGCCAAAATTTCCGGCAAGGCAGGTTCCATGCGGAATCTCTGATTTTTCTTTTAATATTTCAGAGAGGCCTTCGCCGTCCTCCCCTCCAGGCAGTGGCGGCCGGCCCTAGGGGAGCTAAGGCCCCCCGTCTTGCCCACATAAAAAAAAAATATTTAAAAAGAAAATTAAAGTTAAAAAAAAATATAATTTAAAGAAAAATAGTATGAGTGGTAAAAAAGGATATGGGTACGTGATAGGTTCTTATATTTTTAATTTTTAATGAACAAGGTAAATATCATACAATTGGTAGTCAGTCAAAAATGTATGGGGGCGATCTACATAAACTATTGTTTACAGAGGGATTGTGTTATGGAGTCAAAAGTTAGCTGATAAGTCAGCCTGTTTAGCCTGCCTGGCCTTGCCTTGGCATTAGTTTATCCATTACGGGGCCGCTGCCCCCGAGGCGCAAAACAGCAGCAACAGCAGCACGTTTGCAAGAAGTCTCAATATGTAAGACTGTGCCACCGAAAACAGTAATTTCCAGCATGCAGCGGCGTCAACATATTTTGGTCAAAGAGGGCGGGGCGCTCACGGTGCGNTCCTCCGGTTTGTATCCCGGTAAATAGTTCTGGTCGTAAAGAACCGGGTGATTTGCTACCTTAATATCTCGTTTGGAATATGAGGAAATGAACTGCGGTCTGGCTCTCACAGCTTGCACGCGGTTTGATTGGCTAGCGCTTGTACTGGCGGGATTTGCATAAACGGGATTTGATTGGCTGATGCCAGCTTCGAAAGCATCGGGAGCATCAAAAGTTGAACATTGCTAAACTTTTGATGCTCACGATGCTTGCAAAGCCACGCTCTTCTCCCCACAATGCAGTTCGGCGAAGATTACAAATCTTCTACGTAACCCCATTCAAGTGAATGGGCGAAGCTTTGAAAGATTTTTTTCACGCCTGTGTGTGGACGGGCCGTAATGTACAAACAAAGGACAGCATGCTAAAAGAGGCTTAGTGTCTCAGTCAAACAATATTTTATCATCACCATCGCAAGTCAATCTTTAGTCAACATTATAGTCAATTTGAACCTGGCTGGACGAGGATTCCCTTCTCAAGTGATTTCTTGTTGCATATTTACGGATTTTAACGTTCACTAGTCTTTTTCTGCTGGAAGTAATTTGCTCAAGGGCGACCGGACAAGCTCTAAAAGTTGCTAGCTAATAGTAGCTTCAACATGTTAGAGTTGATTCCCAAATGTAATCGACAGCGTCAGAACCGTTTTGTTCATGTGTGGTAATGACCTGAATGTCAAACTAAGACGTAGACCTCTTTTAGCTTAGCGGCTATCATTTGTCTATTGCATACATAACAAGGCAGAACATTAGAACACCTTTCATCTTCCGATCAATTCCCTTCAACACAGAGGCCTTTATTTATACACTCACACCTTTGATACTTCTTTGATCCTCTTCTCCTATTTTTGGGTTTAGGAAGTTGTGGTTTCCAAGTACGTTTTTCACCTCCTCTTGCAACCTGTCTTTGTTCTTCCTCCATTTTCCTTTTCTAATAATGCCCCCTGGGAGAAAGAGGGACTTATAGAGAGTGACATCCTGAATCAGTTTTTGCATAACTGTTTTTACTCCATCCTGCGTGATTCTAAGATATTTCCCGATGTTGCACGAGGGCAGCAAACCCTTGAATCCACCATCTTTCCATTTCCCCTCTGTCTTCATCTGTCTTCAAACGTTAGGGATATGTAGTTCAAAGACCAATCGTTGTCCCACCGTTATCTGTGATTCACCGTTTCACACGATAGCTGATGATGGAACTTTATCCTAATCTTTAAAGATGAGAAAACTAGATCAAAGTTTCGTTGTGGTCTGTTGATGTAATGATGGGTAATCCTTCTTCTTTGCTTCTTCCTTTTTCATACCCATCCCTTGTTCCAATGTGATGGTAGAGGTTCATGCAATTATTCCTAGAAATGTGACGACGTGCACCATCTCCCTTCACTCCAACAACCACTCCCTCCAACCGCCTTTCCTCCAATCCTCCATTATTGCAGGTAGCGATAGACTTTGAAGCAGTGGTTTCCAGAGTCTGCCACGACCACATGTCCGTCTGAGGTCAAAGCCAGACCCTGGGGTCCGTACAGAGGGTCCGCGGACGTGTTGATGTAGGATAGAAAGGATCCGCTACCGTCAAACACCTGGAAAAGTTTCAACAGAGCGAGAACATTTGGTTTCTACACAAACTCCCAAAGTAAGTGCTTCTTGTTATTCCATTCTGTACCTGTATTCTGCTGTTTCCCCAGTCGGCTACGATGATGTTCCCATTGACGTCCACGGCTACACCAGTGGGAGCGTTGAACTGGCCGTTTCCCTCACCATTAGAGCCAAATTTCATCACCAGCTCGCCCTCCGGAGTGAAAACCTGATAGAGACAGAAAACAGAGATCAAGATCCAAATTCAAAGTGTTCTTGAGCAACAAACTTTCAAACTAACGGGATCGTTCAGGTAGTCTGCAGTAATGAAGGCTTTACCTTCACAGAGTGGTTGTGGAAGTCAGTCACGATGATCTCGTTGTTCTTGTTCACTGCTGCAAAGTGCGGACCTTTGAACAGAAACACAGATTGTGCTTTCAGTTCAAACTTCATCTTGCATTTAAAATGCTTTCAGTCCTTATTCGTCAGCGGGGAACATCACCTGCATTCAGATCTCATCGCTCAGAACACTAACTGCTTCCAGTTTTTGCATTTTAAGCAGTATCTCATCTCCTTTAAGTGTGTACATTTTAACAGGATTAGTGCTTTCTGAGACTATACTTTATCTGCCACAACAAGTACTTCTAATGTGTATACTTCATCTTACAACTCAACTTCTTGAAGTAGCTAAGAGGTCAACTGTTCGAAAAACTAATTGATAGTCAGTTCTTGGACAAACAAAGTAGTCGTTCATCCATGGAGTTAAACATTCGAAAGATCGTAAGTCTATGAACCGTTAATCGTTGGCCTCATTTTGTTGTGGCTCCTTCATTAACTTCCAGACTATCTCTTTGAAACTCTACCTGCAAACTGCTTGTCACCGTTTCCTCGACTTCCGAACTTGGAGACGAGCTTGCCGGTCAGCTGGAAGATGAAGACGGTGCACGCTTTGTTGTCAACCACGATCACGTGACCTTCCTGGTCCACCGTCACGCCCTTTGGCCCCATCAGTCTACCGGAGCCAAGCTTTGTCTAGATGGAGAGAACATACGAGAAGGAAAATACATTCAACAAAACACAAGAGTTTGAACACATTTTCTGTACGTCAGATAATCCAGTCCTAAAGGCCCTGTTCCTTCCTACAGAGCTCAAAGCCACAGACCTTGTACTTCCCCTCGCTGGAGAAGATGCTGACCCACTTGTTGTCGTAGTCGGCGATGATGATATCACCGGTGGGATGCACGGCCACGCCGGTGGGACGCTGCAGCTGGCCTGGAGAGCGCCCCCGAACACCGAAACGACTCTTAAATTCCCCCTCATTGGAGAAAATCTGGACAGGAAAAACATTGGTTACAACTCATATAGACTAAATGCATACCTTCATTTAACCTCAACCATAGTCTCAAATCTGTGCCCTCAAACGGCCATTTGGAGAAGTGAAGCCCAGATCATTGAGCTGATGCTTTTATCAAAAGGGACTTACAATAAATGCAGTTGAACATAAAAGAAACAAACTCAAAGCAGCAATTATCCTGCAGGTAAATTAGCTTTAAATAAGCCGAACCATTTACGAATTTAATGCATTAGTTACCGTTAAGCCACATCTTTTTAAGCATTAGCTTGAAAAGAGCCAAACCATTTTAAGAGGTAGCGGATTAGCCTCAAGTCCTGGTGCTTTAGCATCAAATGTAAAATGTTCAGGGGGGTGCATGATACCCCCTTCTACCCACTAGACTAATGAGCTTAACCTTTTTAAAGTACAACATTTGTATACATTAGTTGGAGGTGCTTTACCTGGACACACTGATTGTTGCTGTCAGCTATCAGTATCCTGCCACTGGAGGAAGCAGCCACTCCTTGCAGGTTGGTGAACTCTCCTTTATTCCTCCCCTTCGATCCTGCAGAAAACGTAAGTTCAAGCCTAAAGAAGTCTGGAAATGTACGCTAGACATTTTGTATTTGCTGTAATGTGATGATGTACCGATCCTGAAGATCAGGTCGTCCTCAATGGGGTTCTGGGTCTTGCGTCTCGGGGTCCCCAAGGCGCTGCTCGCCCTCTTGGAGCCCTTCTTCTTCTGGCCGGGGGACTTCCCTCGTCTCTTTGCCCCCTCAGAGGAGCCCGTGGAGGGGGTGGCGTAGGCTGCAGAGTTGGTGGCTGTGGTGGTGGAGGGGGACACCTGCAGATGGACGCAATATTTAATTTTACATTCTGTTCTTGTATATATCATATTCTATTTACATGTATATAGACTTCTTGTACTATTTTCTTTTTTTGTATTTGTATTTTTGTATTGTATTATATATGTTGCATTGTTGGAGGAGCTCAGCTCATAACAATTTCATTGCCATTTCTACACTGAAGCTTTGTGCATAGGCCAATAAAACCTTTTTAAATATGACCACCCACCTCCACATCGGCCTCCAGGAACTTGTTGACGTTCAGCCTGAAGGGGCTTCCTTTGATATGCTGGTCGTACAGACGGAGAGCCAATGAGAAGTCACCCTCCTTCGGCACCGTGTAAACAAACTCGTATGTCCCATTCTTGTGGTCCAAAATCTCCCCGTCCACGATGCTGCCGTCCGGGGTGAAGACCTGGATCACACCCACACGTCAGGTTATATATATATACTACATTTTACATTTATATTCAATCTAATTATTAATATTCCATGCCTCACATACTCATGTATTTATTAGGGCTAATTATTAAATTAATCGCACATTTTGTATCTGTTCAAAATGTACCTTAGAGGAATATTCTTCAAGTTTTGAATACTCTTATCAACATATGAGTGGACAAATATGCTTTATGCAAATGTTTGTTTATTATCATTGGAACAAATATTCTCCTGAATATTCTCAACACAACAACCTGGAACCTCTCTCTCTCTTACACAAACAACCTGGAACCCCATCTCTCTTCCACTCTCTCCCAACCCTGTGTACTTCTCTGCACTGAGCCAGTTGCTCAAACAGACAAGCCTGTTTACAGTTGTCAGTGAAAAGCCGCTCCTCTGTCTTCATAACAGTCAAAGCATGAGACTGAAGTTCCCACAGGGGTCAAAATAATGCGCTGTGATGTGCAGTCGACACGTTGGATGCGATCCCAATGATCTCACGCAGCCCCTCGTCCTCCACAATGTTAAGCTGTAGACACCCATTTAGCTATTGCTGTTGTTGTCCAGGCGTCTCCCCGGCAAACTTTCAAGCGTGGTCTGCCGCAAGCGAGCGGCAGGAGGGGGGCTGTCAGCATCAGCTGTGTGCTTGGCCTTTTTTTGTATCCATATCTCTCGCTAGAATCTTCCACCATCCAACTAACAACAACAACAACAACAACAACGTCAAGCCTTTGGGCTCTGAAACTACGGGGCGGGCCGAGGGCAAATACACATGCGTTAATCGCACGTTAAAATCATTAGTGGCATTAAAAAAAATGTGCGTTAACGCGTTAACTTGACAGCCCTAGTATATATAATAACTTGCTTTATATTTGTTACTGTACATTTTGTAATTCAACATTTATATTTTCTACTAAATATATATGTTGGTGTTTCCACAGAATTGCATACAATTTTAAGTGTAAAAAAAGCCGACCTCGGCGGACATGATGGCGTTTCCGCTCTTGCATGCTCCCCCCGACTTGTCTCTCGTCACAATGGTCACCGAGGCAGGATGTCCCACAATGCACTGCTCCAAACCGGCGCCCATGGCCTCGCTCTGGCTCGCCACCGCGCTGAGGAAGATGAGGACGGTCACATGGTAAGAACATTTGCATTTTATCAAGTATTTTATCAAGTATTTAACGTTTTAACGGTGCCATTTCTTACATTTATAAGACAACACTACGTTAGAAAACCTTTCCCTCTCCTGTAGCGTGTTCTATAGGTGTGTGTGCATGTGAATGGTCTGCAGGGGCTAAAATCCCAAAGTTATGGAACATAGTGACATCACTACAGAACATTCATGCTCCAATTGGCTGGCGAGTTAGGGTTAGGGTCTAACCTAACCCTAACCCGAAGTTTTCAAATATATTTAAAAGAAATCTCAAACATTCAAACTCAACACTCAAAAAAGGATGGATGGAGGACGCTCCTCCGGACTTTCAAGCCTTCATACTTTTATTTATAATCCTGCTCCACCTCTGAAAGTGTGGTTCTAATCTAAAACGCTTCTCCATCCTGCATGTTTTGTGTCACCTGGTGGTGACGATGGTGCCCAGGTTGTGGATGCTCTTGCGCATGCCGTCGGTCTCCAGGATGAGGTCCAGCTGGTCGTTCTCCTGCGGCTCACAGGTCAGGCGGAGGCCGGTCAGATCCCCGAGTCTCTGCTGCAGCTGCTGCTCCGCCTGCAGCCCGGCGGCACACGCCTCCCCAGAGAGGGCCTCCTCCGCCTGGGAGAGGGAGGCCGAGAGGGCCCCCTCCCCCAGGACCAGGCTCTCCACCTGGGCCTGGAGCACCTGCACACACGGGGAAGAAGAGTATATAATGACGAAAAATAGGATAGAAACTGTCGGGGTTGGGGTAATAATACCCAAATTCAGTACAGAGACAGGAAGGAGGGTTTCAAAGTTTTAACAAAAAGCGAGGTTTATTCAAAAGCTGATAACAAACAAAGAATAAGAAACACTAACCACACAATAAGACAATCAGGCAGAGGAGGGAAACTAAAGACAGGAAGGCCAACACAGGAAGTAAGACCAGGCACAAGGAGGGAAAACGTTTCTAAATAAGGTGGAAAATCACAACATAAACCCAAAACCATGACAGAAATTCTTTAAAAACATGGTTTATTTAAAATCTAAGAAGTCAAAGTATTTCGTCATTTAAAAAAGAAGTCAAATACTTTGTACTATATTTCATTCAAAGTAAAAAAAGGTAAAAAAATAAGTCGTAGTAAATAATTTCCAGAAAAATATGATGGAAAATTCAAATGTGTATTTTTCAAAAGTGACATCAAAGTCTGGAAATAAAAACGAATTCAAAACTTTAAATATATATATTTTTTAAAGAAGACAAAGTGTTGTATTTTGAGAAACGTAATGAAAAAAGTTGAAAAATCTTGAATTGTTTGTCGAGAAACAGTAAAAAAAAAAAAAGCCTAAAAATATTTAGAAATAAATCGAAGTCATAGTATGTATAAGAACACGTAAAGTCACATTATAATATGTGTAATTAATCCAAAAAGTTACTGGAGCACCTGGAGACACATGTTGAAAATATCATACAAAATGTGAAAAAATAGTTTGTATAAAAACACGTCACATTATAATATGTTAACCGATAGAGTCACGTGATATCTGGTGTGTTTTCACCTTCTGCTTCAGGCCGTAGGTGACCTCCAGCTCCATCAGCAGGACGCTCTTTCTGACGTCCAGCTGCTTGTGAAGATCCTCGAAACTCGATTGGATGTCCTCGTCGATAGAAGCTCTCTGATTGGTCAGCTGCTGAAGGATCTCCCGGACAAAAGACAAGGCGTCCGAGATCTCAGGGAGTCTATAGAGATAGAGCGCATAGAGTGTGTTAGTCATCAGGGAGATAAACACGAGTCTGTTTCATTTCATGCATAAGAAAATCCAGAGGTGAGAGACTTTTTACAATGTATTCGTCCATAGCAGGGATGGGCAAATGGTGGCCCCCACCTCCTCTTTTTGCGGCCCTCAGATTAATTTATAAAGAACGTAATTAATTTTTTTTTAAATTATTAATTTTTTTACTTGTAGTACTGATACCGCCCACTAGACACCTAGTTACGTCGCGAGCTGCGTACATGATTTCAAATACCGCGAAATAATCCATGACGCATTTGTGTGTATTTTGTTTGTTTCCCGGGGAAACCCTCACAAGAAACACCGGCTGTTGTTATGCCTGCTGTGACGTTTTGCCTCTTGTAATTATGCCTTTACAAGCTCAAAAGTTGTATTTATCATCTGAATTTGGCGAAACAAGTTTAGTATTCTTAAAACCAAGACTTTGTTTATTTGAAATCAGATGAAAACAAACTGTCACGGACCCTGCTGTGTTATCTATGATTACTACGCTTTTCATTCATAATTTCAGCGGGAGGGAGGGGGAGTGGTGTGAGGAACAGCAGAGTGCAGGTTGACAGGTGTCTGTGTTGACATTCCCCTTATTGAGACACCTAAGTGTTTTAGGTTCAAGTTAGACAACTAATGTCTGGGTTAGTGTTCATGACTTCATGTGTATGTCATTTGAATGGTTAATCTCAATACACACACATTTTCCGTGCTTTCCAATAGTTTAAAATACTTTTATTCCACTGTTTTAATAACCTGTTCAAT